CTCCTCCGGCAAAGCCTTCCTGGCTTCGAAGGAAAGAAAAGGAAAAAAAAAGCAGCTCGGATCAGCAGCTGAGAGCCAAATCCCATTTCTCCATCTCCTGGATGCTGTCACAGCCCCCCTGATGACCGTGGGGTCCGGCTGGGTTGATGAGGACCGAAATCCCTTGGATTCTCCGGTTTCGAAATCCCGGCACGGAGCGGTTCCCCGCCTGCCTTGCCCTGGTTTTTGGAGGCTCCCGAGTCGGATTTTTAAAGTGGCGCTAATGAAAATGCTGGAAATGTCTGTGGCTCTCCGGCATTTTTGTCATTTTGCCGCTTTGCTGGCCCTCCTCACACATGGGGAGTTTTGACAAAAAGGAAACTTGTTTTTGTCTTCCAGACGTTTTTCTTGCAATATTTTTTTGGGTTTTGTTTTCCACCAGTTGGGGAGTTTTGGCTGTGCCCTCAGGAGAGGCAGGATTCTTTCATCCCCCCAGCCGATAGCTAGCGGAAGAAATGTAAATAAAGTAATATGTAAAGCAAGGTCTGTGTTACAGGACGACAATAAAACTCCCAGGCAGAGTTATTTAATTTCACTCTCTCCATACACACATGCACACACGCCTTTCCTGCCCCAGCCCGTTGCCAGATCTACGTTGAGATTTGAAATAACAAAACTACATTGTATCTCGGAGACTAAGGACAAAATAAGTGGATTTTTTTTTTCCTCTCCCTTATACACGATAGAAGGGGAAAAAAAAAAAGACAATTAGAAAGCCATTTTCCCAAGCTTCTCAGATGTTTTGTTTGAGAATTTTTCCATGACTTATGCTAGTCTAATTTCTGACTGAAGATAAAATGGGAGCTGGGCACAAACACAATGAAACTTTCTGGTTCCACTTTCTGGTTCCTTCATTGCCTTCTTCCATCCTCAGCATTGTCCTACAGCAGGAGAAATGGATCCAAGCGGCCGGGGATACACGAACTGTGAATGTTCTCTGGGGTGATTCATTTGCAGGATACCAGTAATATATTTAACTAGTGTTGTACAAACGAAAGATGCATTTTAAGAGATACGATTTTAAAGATTTATTCCAAAAGAAGCAATGATTTTTTTATATATATAGAAAATGGAATAAATGGAAAGGTACAAAAAAAAGAGAATAATAATAAAAGATTGTATCCACCCATCAATCTTGTGTGTGTCTGAATGTTTTATAAGAGTTATTTCAATTTTTGTATTTCAGATGTGACATGGGCTATTTTGTGGATGTGCTCATTTTATTGCTAAGGCTTATATTACAGCTGTATTGTGAACGCTCCAAAGCCAAGGTTGCGACAATAAACTTTACTGAATACAGGATAGTTTTGTACAGGATGTGATTTTTCTCTCCTTTTTTTCGTTTTTTTTTTTGGTAGGAGAAAGATCTGCTTCATTTTTGAATTTCACCTAGGTAGCACTGACATCCCGAGCTCCCAGGCAGCGAGTTGCTCTGTGGTGGGAGGCAGGTCCTTTGCTGTGTCTTTCCTCCTTCTCACAGGCTTTTTTTCCACAGCTGCTCTCTCTGTGCTGTGGCTCCAGGACAATTTTCACTTTGGCTCCTGCTAGCAGGGCATTTTTTTATCAGGCTGCAGCCGCCTCCTGCCTCAGCGCAAAAGGAAAAGGAGTTTCTCACCGCGCGACCTTCGCGGGGGGTTGGAACACAAACTCGTGCGCAGTAGGAAAATGTCTCTGCGGCCCCTTGCGCGGATCCTAAGGCCCTTGAACAAATATTGCCATAAGCGTATCGGGCAAATAAAGCCCGGAGCTGACATGCCCAGCCCGCGGTTGCAAAGCAACTGAAGGGCAGAGCTGGGGAATGGAGAGGGGAACCCACTTTCCCACATCTAGCAGCTAAAAAATTCACCCTGAGCTCAGAGCCCCTCGGCGCAGCAACCCCCTTTGCACATT